CCAGCTTCCCGCACCGCCCTCGCCCAGCGCCGTGGCCACGCCCACGCTCCGCCGTCTCTCCGGAGCTTGCAAATCAGAGGGTGGGAGGGCTGGTTTGTCGCGCTTGTCTCAGCGGCTCCGGCGGGAAGCGCCCCTCTCCCGCCTTTCGCGCTGCGTGCTCCGCTGCTGCGGCGGCTGGATACGCAGAGGCGCTCCGGGGGAGGCTGCGGGGGCGGCCCTGTTCCTGACCCTCCGGCGTCCAGGCAAATGTCTGAAGGAGGCTCTGAGAGAAGCTCTGCTTTGGTTGTTAAAAATCGGGACAGAGGTAAGTCGCTCCCCACCTAAACTCCCTCTACAAACCCTGGAATAATAATCTGGCCTATTTGATTTTGGACTTAATGTGCTGTGCGGACCTACACGTTGTGGCTTGTTCAGCAGACTATGACTTAAAAGTAATAATGGCTGGACCTGATTTGTAAAACTAGTCACTGTGTGGATGCACCCTGCCATATTCTGCCTGCTTTTTCCTCTCAAATGTCCCCATGCTTCCTCTTGTTTCTCATTTAATGACACAGCTGCATCCAACTAAGAGAAACTGTACTGGCAATGTAGGACAAAACACACGAGAGAAGGGAAGGGATACCCAAGCATACAGCTTGTCCATATTTTATTAAATCATCCATTCTAGTTATTAATCATATTTTACAATCTGTCAATAATTGAAGTTCTGCAAGAACTTCATACTTTGGTGCTCATCAGAACTATCTCTTTAGGCTGATAATAGGAGTTACTGTAGCATCTACCTCTAGATAAGGAATATGATTGTAGTATCAGTATAAGCAAAGTTGCTGATAGGGTTGTTAAATGTTAAAGTGAAAAATAAACATTTAACATTATGTTAAATTTTATACTGGTTTTCCAGGTGGAATGGATTCATCTTCATCAAGAAAATTTCTAGACGTAGATGTGAAGATAACTAATATATACTACGATCCAAAAGATGTCCTTGTAAAATTTCAAGGCCAATATAACACAGACTGTGAGTTTGATTATCACATACTGCAAAGAGAAATACAGCAAGTACCCAAAGTGAGAGACCCTGTTGCTGTTGGTGAGTTCTGTTTAGCTGAAGACTCAGATTGTGGAGAATGGTACAGAGGAAGAGTAATACAAAAAAGCCATGACATCTATGAAGTATTTTTTGTGGACAATGGGAAAATACTGACAGTGCATGAAACTCACCTTGCATCTCCCATTGATGAATTATTTCAGCTTCCTCCAAAGATAGTTTGTGGGATTTTTGCAAACGTGCTTCCAATTGAAGAAAAATGGACTGCCAAAGCTTTTAATTACTTTTTATCCTTGATAGGCTTGCAGATTAAAGGTCATATACAAGCTGTTCTGCCACACCAAACATTTCTTCTTGAGGTGCCCAAAATTGCTAATGATATGGTTGAATTCAGACTAGGAAAACTAGTTGATGTAGATACTTTCCATCTTATTGTTGAAATGTTAACTGAATTTCCACATGAATCCCATTGTAAACAAATGCCAGATTTACTGCAACAGAAATATACAAGGCCAGGTTCTCTATTTTGCGGTGCTGGTATTCAACCAGATATTCAACCAATTCTAAGTAAACTTCAACCAATTTTGTCTATTGGTGCTGTAGAGAAAGTAAAAATATCAGTAGCAGTTAGTCCCAGTAAATTTTATTGCCAGTTACTTCGACAACAGGTACAGCTGGATAAATTCACAACAGACATGTCTTCCTATTATGAAACTATTAGCAAAGTAAAACTTCCATCTCGTGACAATCTTGGAGTCCTTTGTGCAGCTAGACGAAAAAATGGTCAGTGGCAGAGAGGAGTAATACAACAGCTACTTTTTGATAACAAAGTGAAGATTTGGTTTATGGATTTTGGCAACTATGAAGCTGTGCCTTCTGAGTGTATTTTGAAGCTTCAACCAGAATTTATTTCAGTACCTATGTTTTCATTTCCTTGTGCTCTATCATGTCTTAGTGATCAGGATGGAACAGTGAGACATGCTCAGCTAGAAGAATTCAAGGAAGCTCTATTAACACAACAGGTTATTTCGGCCCACATAGATCTGTTCAATGGTAATGAACACTTATATTATGTTACATTACGTAAATGTGCATTCACACTGACAAGTGAATATCTATCTTGGGAAAATGATGTGGTTCCAAAACACTACCCTTTGTATAACACGGAAGTCTCTTGCACAGATGGGAATGTACAAAATTCTAGTGTGAACTCTGTCTTGGCTGAGAATGTTTACAATACTGCTCAACAATCAAGTCATTCTTTTAATCAAAAGGATACTCATTTACTCTGCTCCCCTTTAACAATCCCTTGCAAAAGAGCCGAAATGAAAATAGATTCAGTCTGTGTTGCTTTTGCAGTTTATGTTTTGAATCCATCAAATTTTTGGGTGCAAACAAATGATTTGTTAGATGAGTTTGAAGCCTTAATGAAGAAAGTTGCAGATGTTTATGATAGAAATGAAGTGAATGATAACATTCTAGAAAACCCAGAGCCTGGAAGGCTATGTTGTGCACGGTATAGCAAGGATATGCATTTTTATAGGGCTGTCGTTAGACAAGTAGTAGACAATAACATTGATGTTTATTTTTTGGATTTTGGGAACACTGAAACAGTGCCACTGTTTGATGTGAGGATTTTGCTTCCAGAGTTTCAGGAATTACCAGCTTTAGCCATGTTCTGTACACTTGCTAATGCATTTCCAATTGAAGGTATATGGATTAAAAAAGAAACAGATTTCTTTAAAACAGTTGTGGTTGGCAAACCAATCACTCTGCATGTTATTGCAAAACAAAAGGACAATTACATTGTCAATGTGCAGTGTATGAATGGCTCCAAGCAAAGTGATGTTCTCAGGCTTATGGTTCAGGCTGGATGTGCAGAATACTGGGAGGTAAAACAAGATCCATTTTTGAAAATTGTAAGTTCTCAAGTACACTGCTCAAAAAAAAGCAAAAATACAAAAAAACAAAGTGAAACAGTTAAACAGAACAATAAAGTACTGATACCTAAAAATACTGGTCACAATAAAAAGCTGCTGAATACTCATGTTGTGACAAAAGACAATGCTAGGATTTTCCCAATGTGGAAAAGCATACTTTCCAATAAATATGGGAAAATGTTTTGTAAAACAGATAGAGTAGAATGCTATAAAGAGTACAGATTTAAACCAGGTTCTGTATTTGATGTTGTATGTTGTCATATTATTTCACCAGGCAACTTTTCATGTCAGATACAAAACAAGCTACCCAAGCTAAATAATATGATGGAACAACTTCAGAATTTTTACAACACTCAGAAAAGGCCATATGAAAGTGGAAAGCTTGCCTGTGTTGTGAAATATTCTACAGATGGAAAGTGGTACAGAGCTGTTGTACTGAGACATGTATCCAAAACTGAAACTGATGTAATGTTTGTAGACTATGGTAACAAGGAAAGAGTTTTGGCGAAAGATCTTCAGGATATTCATCCAAACTTCCTGATTTTGGAACGTCAGGCATTCAGATGTTGTCTTAATAGTGTCACTGAATCCTTAATATTTGACCCCTATGATTGGACTGCTGAGATATGCAGTGATTTTAGAAGGTTTGTTTCATCTTCCAATGGACAACTGATTTGTTCAATTTGTGCCCTGCTTTTTAAGACTCCCAACTATTTATGTTACATTGTTGATTTGAAGACTCCGTTTACTAGTTTAAGGCAATTTCTCTTTGGAAGTGGCCATGCACAAATTTACTCTTTTGAATGTGCAAGATCTCTTATAACATCATTTTCTCTGTGTAGCTTTTATTATTCATCTTTTAATATGGAAATTGGAAATGAAGAGGAAGTATATGTAACCTATATATATAGCCCTACAAAATTCTATTGCCAATTAAGTAGAAATGGAGATGAGAGAGACAAAATATTTAAAAATATTTCAGAAATTAGCCAAAAAACAAGTCATGCAATCCAAATAAATGCTCACAGTTTATGCATAGCAAAATATCTTGAGGATGGCTTCTTCTACAGAGCTTTAGCATCTCCTATGGAGTCATCAGATTACTGGCCAGTATATTTTGTGGACTTTGGAAATAAACAATTGGTAGCAAAAGAGGAACTGGTTCCTATTCCAAATAATGCTTCAGAATTAATGTTCACACCAATGCAAGCTATCAAGTGTTATCTGTCAGATCTAAAAGATGTTGAAATTCCGTCTGAAATAAAAGTGTGGTTTGAAAAAAATTATTTGGGAAAGGAGTTGAAAGCAGTAATAGTATCTAAAGAATCTGATGGGCAGTTTGGTATGGAGTTGTATGATGGAGAACTACAAATAAATGGAAAGATTAAAGATTTACTAAAGCATATCAAATGTGATCTGAACCCAAAGGATATAAAAAAGGATTTTAAAAAGTGTGTTGGAAATAAACATATGGCATATAAAATAAGGTTGGATATAGATGAAACAGAAATTAAAAGTAAAGAAGTTGGGTGGAAAACTGAAGCAGACAAAGTTTCTTGGAATCAAAATGATAAGTTTCATATTAAATATGGAAACAAAATAGTAATTAATCAACAGAAGCAGGGCAGTAGACCTGCAAAGTTTCCATCAACTTTGGAAAATGCAGAGTCTGTTTTGGAAAACGTTTTGAGACAAAGATATAGAAGTACTTACAAAGAATCCAATACTGACACTATTGATCACCCTAGTGTGCAGTCAAAGATTAAAGATAACAGGACTGGATTACATATGCTGAAATTAAATAGTTTAGGACAGGAAAAAAGCAACAAGACTAAGCGAAAGTACGCAAATCTTCCCCAAGTTGATATTCATATAAATTCTAAAGTTTGGGGTTATATTTCTTATATAGCTAATCTTTCAAGTTTCTATGTTCATCGTTCAGAGGATGAAAATAAAATTGTGCAGCTTGCTGGAGAACTGAATGGCGGAATGCTTATAGAGCCAGAAATAGATGCCGAACTTGAGAAAGATGATGTTGTTTTAGCAGAGTATGAAGGTGATTGTTGCCTATACAGAGCTTTAGTTAGAGAAGTCATAGCCGATATGTTTTTTGAAGTAGAGTTTATTGACTATGGTAACACAGCAACTGTGAATTCAAAAAAAATCTACAAAATAAAAAAGTGTTTCCTCAACGTACCAAGACTCAGCATACATTGCTTCCTTAGTAAAGCAAAGTATTTGTCTTCAGATAAAAACTGGAGTACTAATATGGATGCTTACTTTATCAGTCAAGTAATTAATCAGCCAGTCATGATTGAGTTTCTACAACAGTATGACCAACAGTGGGAGGTTGATATAATTTGTCATGGAATATCTATGACTGATGAATTAATGGAGAGGGGAATCCATTTAGGTTTACAGAACATACTTACATTAAACTTTGACCGCAACACGAAACAGCTCCCAATAATAGATTCAGAAACTGATAGTAATGATCCAGATAAATCAGAAAGTCAAACTTTGTGTGGAACCTTTAAAATCAGACCTGCTAAAATTGACTGCCAAAATATAAAGCCTGGACAGTTAGAAATAGCTGAAATTGGTCATATTTCAAGAAATGGGAACTTCTATGTGAAGTTAATTAAGGATGCACAAACAATCCTCAATTTAAATGTATTGGTTGCCCAAGAGGTAGAAAAAAAGTGCTTTATTACACTGGAAAAGATTAAAGAAGGGTTAGAATGTTTGGCAAGATCAAATGAAACCTTGAAATGGTATCGATCTGAAGTTATTAAAAAATATGTGAAGGAGGAATGTATGTTGGTTCTTTTTGTGGATGTGGGAAAATATGAAATAGTGTCACTACATGATACACATGTGCTGAGTGAAAAAATAAAGTGTATTCCCAGGAATGCAGTGCTTTGTAAATGGATTTGGTTTGGAAATCTAAGAGGTTTGTCTTTTGAGAGAATGATGGAGGAGATAAAATATTGTGAGATAAAGATTTTATTTTTGAGATACTTAGAATCTGCTTTTATTTGGGAAGTAGATATTTTAATAGATGGAATTTTATTTTTGGAATATTGTCATCAAATATCTTACCAAACAAAGTTAGAGAGACATAGCTTACCAAAAATTGTTAATGTAAGCAAATCACTTGATCTCCCAGTCAGGTCAAATTCAATTCCATGGGTACAATTTCAGAAGAATAAGCACTATCCTGGGTTTGTCACTTCAGCCATCGATCCTTCAAACTTCTGTATCCAGTTAGAAGACTCATTTAAAACTCTGAGAACATTGTTCAAACTGCTCTCTGATCTTCCAGAAAACCTCCCAACTATGCCACAAGAATGTGTAGTTCCTGGTGCCAGCTGCTTAATAAAAAATGGACCCAATGAAAAATGGGACAGAGTTGAAGTTTCTGAAGTGCTCAAAGACTCCAATACATTAATACTTACTTTTATTGATGATGGGTTATCAGCTCCCATTCCCATCTCTGATATCCTTAAGCTGAAGGTTATCCCAGAAAAGCTGGCTAATTTGCCACGATTAACCTATCCTTGCTCATTGTTTGGAGTAACACCTGCTGATGGAAAACACTGGAATGATGAAGCCAAACTTAAAATTCAAGAATTTCTTGGTAGACAAGGTCTCACATTCCAATACAAGCAGCCTCATTGTGGACTGAAGCTAGAAGTAGATGTTTTTTGTGAGCGAAACAATGCAGCAGATGTATTGGTTGCTTCTGGTTGTGCCTTGTATTATAAAACTGCATCCTTTGGATCAACTAGTTGTGCTGAGCTTCATCTATCGAATTTACATACTATTTGTGATCCACTCCAGATCTGCAGTGAGAAGAACTCTGAAGCACAGTTTGCCTTAAATAAAAATAAGAAAGATCCACAGAATTCAATTTTTCAATTGAAGTGTGTTGATTGCAAAAATTTAAAGGAGAACAGCTCAAAGAAATTACATCGTAAGAAAAAAAGCTGCCAGGAGACTTTTTTGCACAGCAGTAGAAGAAATTATGGAAACCTGCATAAGAGTGATGAGAAATTATTTAACCAATGTTGCGGCAGAGAACAACTCAATGAAATGTATTCTACAAACATACCAAAAGCTGATCACAAGTTGCTTTTTGGCTCCAAGAGTGCTCAGATCCAGATTCGTGAAGAAAACTGAACATTATTCACATGAAAGGTCAGTTTTAAATGACACTTAAAACAACTATATAAAATTATTTTATTATTTGCTTTATATATAATAGGAAGGGTAGATTGGACTTCCCTTTAAGGCTGGGAGCAAAAGAGTCATGCATCTAATTCCCATGCATAAACTGCCATACTGCAAGTTTGGCAACTACATATATTACATTCCACATATAATGCAGTGTGGGATGCATCAAATCTATATGGGGTTGCCCAGCATGGATGGGTGTAGAAACAATCCGCCACAATATGATTATCTATAGACGGGCTTTAGGGCTTATTATGAAGCAGACTATTTGGTCCTCTTGGGGGACTGTCTGCCAGGAATTCGACAGCAGACTAATGTTCTCAGTTGTTCTGCCGAGCATCTTGGCAGGTTTCAACCAGAATCTCATTCAGAATTGCTTTCAGGTGTGGAACACTATTTTATAATGGGTTAAGTTCTTAGAAATATGATTTCAAAAGGTGTTAGAGAGTCCTATTGGATGCTGTGGCCACTGGAAACTGCTCGGAAACATCCACAGTATTTGGGTTTGGTGCCACCAGTATGCTGATGACATCAGCTTTTTTACTTCTTTCCCGCCTAAATCCAAGGAAACTATTCGCTTCACTTCTGAAGTTAGTAATAGACTGAATGACTGCAAACTTATAGAAGCACGACCCAGATCAGACACTAATGTTCTTGATTAGTTGAAAGAGTTATAGAATATGGAATTCAGTCAGATGCTCATTTCGTTGGTGTCCAAGAATGCATTGGCATGGCTTGGGCACTTGATTTAGGCTCACTTGAAGGAAAATGGCTTCTTAAAAGGCTAGAGGGCATTTTCACTTAGAAATATTGAGCTTTTTTCTATATGCATGCATATGTGTGCGTGTATGTGTATGTATGTATATATGTGTGTCTGTGTGTATACATACATACATTCTATATAGATTTATGGAATAATATACATTCTACATACATTTAAATCTTCCTCATTCTCCTTTTCTATGAATGTATCCAGTCCTCTTGCCATCATTTGGCCACATTAAGATTTCGGCCTTTCCCAAGCCAGTGCCCCCATATGTGTTGAATTTCAATTCCATTACGTCCTGCAGAGCAAATGCACTAACTTGAGGAAAGCTCTATAGTCCATGTAGACATGACTCTGTATAGTTCTCTTGAGTTTGTAGCCCAGTAGACACTTTATCCATTCATCTCATTGCAGAAGCATAGACTGTCCTTTAGAAACCAGAACTAAAGAATTACAGGTCAATGAAAGTTGATAGATAGATAGATAGATAGATAGATAGATAGATAGATAGATAGATAGATAGATAGATAGATAGATAGATAGACGGACAGACTTTATTCAAAATTTAGAAGGTAAAAATTTTTTAAATAACTCTGTAAAAAGGCAGATATGACTTTACAATAAACCTGGGCAAACTATTATGTTATGTATATTTTCTTCCTAATATATCTGTTTGCATTTTTTAGGTTAAAATCTGAGATGATGGATTTTTACAACTGAGAACAAGTAATGGACAACAGATCAACATTCATTTGAAAAGTAATGCAATAAAAGTATGCAGAACATATTCATTTATAAATTTATAATTTATCTGTCACAGAAGTCCAGACCAGAACCCCATAACTCTTAAAAAGTGTAATAGGTTCATTAGTGTTTGGTTTGGTTCCCCTCCTCCTCTGTCATGCACATATAGTTTCATGCTTTTCAAAAACCTTCTCTACTGTAATTGATTTAGCATTGGGACAATGACAAAATGGAAAAGGAAATATTTTTAGTATGATTTTCAGCAAAATTAATCTGATATCTTCCTGGACAAAGACCATCTCGCAGCTTGTACTAAATTTTTATTGTGTTGTTAAAGTCTGTACTTATATGTAATAATCATTTGGAATTTTGTCTAAATTCAAAATATGATTAGAAACTATTGGGGGGGGGTTAGTGAAATGCAATGCAATGTATCCCAAGAGACAGCTCCTGTATTTTGGCCATTGCTCATGTTGGAAAAAAAATGCAGAAATGTGAAAAACAAGAATTCCTTGTTCTATATGTTGCTAGGTTTTGTGGGGTGAGTCATACAGTTGTATCGATTGTGTACCTGCCAAATCCTGTTGATTTATTTTTACCTGCCGAAAGCTTGAATTTAAACAAATATAATAGGAAAAGAATCTCAATGATTTCAATTGACCATTTCAGTGTAACTACATTTTAATAAAATACAGATTTAGCTATGGACTCCCATAAATCTTGGCTATTCCAGTGTTCTTCTGCAATGCTCTGTTTTGCTTACTAGAACAAAAAGTCTCCATCTAAACTGCAGAATATATTTTGATGTAGGTCATATATTAAGACAGTTGTAAGTCATGGACATTTCATTAATTATAGGGAAGTTTAATACTGAATTGATTTTTACCAATTCTTGCCTGTTTGCAAGAACTGTAATTTAATAGTTTAAATCTGTTTTCTTTTGTTATACTTGCTTAGTAACTTGTGCATTCACATAGGAGAAAATGAGTGACAGGTAAATAGAAATCATGATTTAAAACCCAGTTAAATCTTATCCGTGCACTAGGATGCTTGGAAGTTGTACATATTTTTATTGCAGCTTGTACTGTGTTGAGCCCCAGTAGTGAGGATTTTTCCAATTTTGCTTAGAGGGAAAAGCTACTGTATGTTGAAAGGTGAACACTCTCCTGACAGCTTGATCGTTTCTGTTAGTTTCAACACATTTCAACAGTTCTAAACTTTACATTTTGAAACACCTAAGTTGATATAACTAAACGCATTTGTGTAAGACTTAAATGGCTTAAAAGTGCTACCAGACAAACCAAAGCCTCCAGTTGGCCATAGGGCTTGTTGGGAGTAACAGTGAAACATTTATTCTTGTAACAGGCAAGAACAACAGGAGTTATAGTTTTTTAATATCCATATGAACCCAAATGGGGTGCTTATGTAAACTCAAATTAGTTCAAAAAGACTTAGCATTTTATGTAAAATTATTGATAAGTACTGGTGAGAAAACATATCTTCTGGTTATATAGTGTAAACGTGAGCTTTCTTGCTGAGTGCACTGAAAAAAGGTGTGTTTGAATATTTAATGGTATTCATAAAGTATATTTTTCTTTAAATAAAATAATATTCTTTAACTCCAATGATGTAAAATTCTTATTAAGCAGCAATAAACTGGTGGTACAAATTTAATACAGCTACAGTAAAGCTGTAGGAAAAGCTGTATTTGTCTGATGCTTTCTCATGCCAGCCTTTAGTTGGCGGAAGCTTTCATGGGAGGAAGAGAGAGAGAGAAAGAGAGAGAGAATATTAAAGATATATTTCTGAAATCAATGAGATTTTATTTTTACATGAGGCATTAAGGCAGGATTCTTTTCAGGTGCCGAGCACCATTGTGCAATTTCCCCTCCCCTCACTCAATTCACCCTAAATCCTAGGAGATTTTGGCTTTTTTAAAAAAACATTAAAGGTTGAGGGCCCATAGATGCCATGGCTTTGAGGAGCATGTTACTGACCTTCATATTATAAAATAGAGATGGAAGGGAGGTGTTACCAAGTCAGGTAGTCCTTAATGTAAAATAAGCTATGTTACTGCTTATGTTACTGTTGCTGTTCTTGGTATTATTTCAACACTGAGCACAATATGCAGTTGGCCTTGGCTATTTTGCCATGAAGACATAAAGTGTATGTTTTATTGATGTGCATGTCCCTGCAAGAGTGCAAATGTGAGTCTATAGTCAGTTGCATAGACTTCAAGGTGCAATTTAAAACTCACATCCTTTTTTTCTGTTTATCAAACCTAAAGTGATTTTCAGAACAATAATAAAAATAAAAGATACCAAAAATTAGTGAATACAACAACAGCAAGGAAACCAAATATAGGAATAATAATAATTCCTTTCCAAGAGCAAAAGTTTAATAGCAAGTCATATTAATAGGCAGTAGTAAGATCAACTGAAATCTGTGGTACAAATATTATGAAAGAATTAGATTTAGCACCCTAACCAGGAAGAACACCATGAAAGGGGATAGGAATCCTCTTTGGGGATGGCATTCCAGGGAGGTGCACCATTATCGAAATGACTGCATTCCTGCTGGATGCAAACTTCAGGTGCATCTGGAGCAAGCCCTCGGATGTTGAGTCAAAGCAGATATGGAAAATAGCATACAAAAACTTAGCTAGAAGTAATGCCAGAATGTGTATTATCTATGTGGGTAGATCTTAAAGAACATGGAGGTTGGGGTCCATGTTTAAGGTACATAATAGCAATTTGTTAAGTTCTAGGAAACAACCTGAGGAACCTTTTTACTTCTTCCTGTAGCAGAAGTAGAAGAAACTAGGCTAACAATCTAAATTAGCTCCTCACATAAGTACAGCACAGAATAGTGAGAAGCAAAATGGCTAATACTTGGTAGAACTCTTGTAGAATAAACCTTTACATCTGACTGGCTGCAGTTTGAAATGTTAGCAATGTGAGCATGACTAGTTGGCCTGAGTCAAGCCTTCGTCAAAGACTGGTGAGTCTTAAAATGTGGGCCAGGTTAGCGTGTACCTCTTTTCTGTTACAAAAGGGTGATGGGGATTTGTTTTGAGCCCAATATATTGTATAGTACAACTCCTGGCACTCAAGCCGTTTTAGATTACTTGAATGGCTGGAAGCTGCTGTTACCCATAAAAGCAAATGCCTCTATGTGACTCACTTAACTTGATTCACTGTTGGGTAGTTCTATTACAGACGTTTCTTCCCAGCTTGCTTTTCTAGAGATTGAGACTTTAAATGTGAAACCAGGCAGTTGTAGCCCTAGAGGAACTAATTTGAACTGCCCAGGTCTGATACAACCTTTCTTCCACATGGCAAGTAATTTTTAACTCCTGCAATGTTTTCCGCTCTTTACTATTGAGGACATTTAAGATACTAGATACTCCCAGCAAGAGTCTTTGTATGTGAGGGTGTAGCGTTAGTGATTCAACTTCTTCCTAACAGCAGCATCTTTTACTCTTCCTGGCTGGAGGAAGGATATTTGAAGGAAGACTTTACAAAAACTATGCTCATTGTTTGATAGAATATTTTAGTCTCCAAATGTAGCAAAATCTTTTACTGTTGCTACAATCATATATTATTAGAGAAGTTAAGTAAAGGAAGGCTAAGACTTCTTAAATACTTATTTTAAAATAAATAACCATTAATGTTTTTAAGATAACAGACATAGCTATAAGTATGATGCCAGAATCATGTTGTAATACTCTGCCAAAAGATGAACAGGTATGGATTAGATTTTCCCAGGATTCCCTTCTTTGGCATTCTAGAAGATTAAAATAAAACCTGGTAATCTCTTGGGGAACCAGTGCAAAATTATGCATAAGCTTTCATTCTTGGTTTACAATACGCTCAAGGTGAATGACTTGTCTTCGGTAATCAATAAAATGTAAGATATCTGAATATATGCAAATACCTTAGATAACTTCCTGTGCTTCAGTCAACCAAGCAGACTTGTTTGATTTATGAACATGGGTATTGTGGTTTATTCAGCAAATCATGCTTAAAACATACCACGGTCCAACATATGTACGATGCTCCCCAGTTGAAGATATCTTGCTCTGATGATATGTATAATTGGCTACCTAAAACTCGGTCATGAAGGCAGGTGTCCCAAGAGACTTGGGATTCTGTTCTAAGACCCTAGTTCTTATTTAATCCCTTCACTTAGACCAAGCATGTATGAAGTCTTTTTGAGTTTACACCAATATCCTGTACAATGAGTGTTCCTTCAGATTTTGCACAAATCCTAGTAGTGCTAGGCAACAGGCCACTGGTGAAGGATACTGGGGTTTTAGCATAGTAACATCTAAAGAGACACAGATTACACACCCATAACTTGCAGTCACCCAGAACCTCAGTTGATCAATGTATAAAAACGTTCTGTTATACTGATCTATAATTCTTGCAGGATCTATGTACCATGTGGTTCATTTCTCATAATCCCTTCCTGACACAATTCATGCTGAGTCTGCAGGTGTCCCTCATAGAGTTGTGGGGAACGTGTTACAGGTTCTTTTTTGGAGGCCTTTTAAAGATATGTGCAGACACAAAAGGATTTATCTCTTGAGATTCAGTTCAGATCTCTGCTTGATTGTTCACTGCTGGATACCTACTGATTGTCTACAGCTATGTCTGCTTGGTTCTGTCACAGGTACTGTAGCTGACTTTAGCCTCCAGGCAGCTCCCGCTTTGCTTTTTCTTCCAGTCAAGATACTCCTGTAGCCTCCAGATGTCTTCCTCCATCTCCAACTTTCTCTGTGTCCAAATCTTCAACAGTGTGTGCAGTTCCTATACCCACATTTTCTGGGCTTTCTGATCAGGTTTTATTTTCCAGCCAGGTAGATCTAAGGGTGAGGTCCTTTTTAAGAAAAGAGGGAGTGAAGCCTTCAGATGAGCTGGGAGACTCCAGGCTACCAGTCTTGGCAGGCACAGCTATGCCAGGCCATACTTGGCACCCTTAGTAAGTGTGTTAGAGAGGGGCTTGGCTGTGTCAGGCACAACTTCCTCCTGCAGTTCATTACAGTAGCCTCTGTTGCTCCCTATGCTTTAGTGAAAGGGAAGGAGTCTGCTGTCCTCAACTCTCTATCAACCCAGGGATTGGGCTGAAGCTTCTTGTGGGGAGAGTGAATATTGGGCTGCACCACTCCAATACCTCCCTCAATTCTGAGACAGCATTTTGGGCTTCAAGGGGGAAGAACATCTGTATCTGTGGCTGGGGTGAGCTATGCCACCTCTTGAATGTATGGCATCAGTAACACTTTGGGGAGAGAGGGATGTTAGCAGCCAGTTCCCTGAGGCTTCTATAGCTCTGGATAAAGCTGTTAAATTTGAGGGTGGGGGGAGTGCCCTCCCAGGCTACGCAGTGCCTGTTTGAGCCCTCAACTATTTCTGAAGGCCTCCATGCCAGGAAGAGCATGGACAGCAGCCATGTTGCCACTCCACACTAACATGTCCGGTGTCCCCCTCTTTTCCACAGATTATGCCTTACAGTTGGAGGAAGTGTCAAGATTGTTACAGATTACTAACTAACTTTAAGTGCAGTAGTTTGCATTTCCTGGGATCAGTTGAAAAAGAACAACAACAACAACAAAGGGCTTTTTGCTAATGCTCCAATAAGTCCTGTAGCCCCTCCATTGCCTCTGTTACCAGGTAACTGTCTTCCAG